CATGGCCGTCGTGAAGCGTTACAACACAAGTGTTGCAAATAGCAACTTCACAGTCCTTGCAAAAGAACTTCAGCTCTTCTTTCTCGTGGTGTTTCTTCGAGCAAAATGCTGGACGCTTTAAAACATTCTCAAAGTCCTTGTCTTGAAAGTCTTTGAGCGCCAACACGCGGTGTTCTTTATTGGCTTTGATGCCATTATGAAGGCTTATACAGTTAGCTTCACACCAGAATGCACAACACTGGAAGCAGTAGAAACTCTTCGAGCTCTTCGTGTCACAATTTCCGCATTGTACGCCAGTGGTATTACACTCTTTGATTGCTAACACATCGAGCAAACTATTGATTCGAAAGTTGGTGGGTAGGTCGTTGAGGTTTCCGCTAGGGACTTTGCTCTCTCTTCTACATTCTGGACAGGTTATGGTATCATGGCGGCCGCTCGCTCGCTGAATGCCTTCCAAGCAGTGAAGACAAAAACTGTGTAGGCATGGCAGCGTTTTTGGATTAGTGAATGTGGTCATGCACACAGAACAGGATACTTCATCATGAAGATTGTTTAGAAAGGTTTTAACATCCATAATTAAAGACGGAAACTTAGAAGCTCGATGAGAAGAGTTTGTAGCTGAAAATACCTCAAACAATGAAGGGTTGTGTATGATCGGATACAGAGGTATTTGTCATAACTGGACAATACTTGCCAATCACGGGCCGAAATTAGACAATAGACTTGTCATGATGTGACTTCTTAGAGTGATGACAGAAAGAGCTAAGGATTCTAAGAACTGCAACGATCAAGACAGCTTGACCTCCAAATTAATCATAATGCTGTCAGGCAATTCTATATTTCGGTCTATTGATTGGGTTATTTTATAAACAATCGCTGCTTAGTGTTGCGTGGACGATTAACGGCGTCATCATGAAAAACTGTTCGACAACTTTTCAGGTCAGATTGCGCGGCAAGATGTCTGAAATGTTCTTTGGAAGTATGATAACTGGCGATTATTTTCTGTTCCAGTGACGTTTATTTTTACTACAAGTTATACAGTACCCTGTGAGCAGAGGTTCCTTCGATCATCCTAGAAGAGTCGGAAAGAGGAAGCGACTTTTCTAGGAAGATCGAAGGGACCTCTGCTCGCAGGGTCAGCCAGTTAACAAATAATTTGGTTCAATAAACAGGAAATTGGTACTAAGTTATTAATAACAGGGATGAGTGACGTTAACTGTTCAAAATATCAGTTGCAGATGTTTGATTGAAGACAAGTATTCGATAGTGCAAAATGAATGATGGCTGGTACGGTAATTCGGGAACGGTGAACAGAATTGAGAGACGTAATTGTTTACCGTTATGTTCTTTAGATAGCATAGCATTTTGGAATTGTGGGAAGCCATTGTTTAAAGCTTGCAATTGGTCAGTTATTGCTATGGAAACTAAATTTCTGCGATAAAATCGAGTAAAAGGTGGAAAACGATCGTGTTCTTTGTTACTAACGTGATGTAATGTAGCGTGATTAACTGAAGGAGAAAAATGGGAAAAGGTTAAATGCCGAATCATTATAGCGACGTTGCTCTAGTGAGCCGGGAATAAACGTTTGTATAAAGCTTCGATTGGAAAGAAATTCCAGGTGTTTGTTGATAACACTTTGCAATTGGATTTTACGTTTTTGGCTTGTTATAATTGCAAAAGAAGAAGGTAACAAAAAATGGTGCTGGAAATATTCGGCTTTACATTACCATGGAAATAAATGAACTCAGCCTCGCTACATTCCACTCCAATACGTATTTTGTGGCAAGGACTGGCAAGAAAAAGCCCTAGCTTTATGTGGATCCGAGAGCACAACCATAAATTGTAATGTCAATCTGACAAAAGGTCACCCGAGTCCCTCGAACACGTGTATTGTAATTATTATGCCTATGACGATCTAAAAGTGTTTTTAGGAACGGGTCTACTACTGTTTACAGC